CAACTTGTGTCCTCTGACGTTATGCACTTCCTAAAGAAAACTTCCAGGTGGAGAATCCAGCAGAGGAGTGGATGGAGGGAAGGCAGTGCCAGCACAGCTTCCCCTGAGAAGTGGAGAAAATTCCATGTGTATTTCATGATCTGTATCTCTGACCCCAAAGGTCCCCAAAGTCCCTGTGTCAGCACAAGGAGCTGCTGCGGGCTCTGGGCCCCGTGGCCAGGATTCCCTCAGGGCTTCTCCACCATCCTCACCCCCACCAGTGGCTGGTTCAGTCCCTGCCCTCCCATCCTGCTTGCTCTTGGCTTCCCTTCAGCCCTGCCCATCCCCAGCATCCCCTTGGGTGCAGCAGCCCCTCAGCCTCCCCCCACTGTGGGAAAGAGCTGTTTTACCCATGGAGGGTCTCAGCTGGATCACTGCAATGATCTCTCACTGAGAATGGCCTCAGTCACACAGAGGACACAGCGATGGTTTCCCTCACCCCCCGTGCCACTTTTGGGACAGAGCCAGGGAGCGCTGGCCCTGCCACGGCTCGTGGAAAAAATGATTATCACACCCTCCGAGTAAAGCTAAACCAGTAACAGATCGAGCTGCATGTTCAGTGTTAATGTTGCTTGTGAGTGCATTTGCCATGAAATTATTGTTAATTATTCATGCCAGCTAATGCTCAGCTGCCTCTGATGGCCTCGGAAATGGCAGCACTGCCCGTGTCACGGCCGAACGCGATGTATTACAGCAATAAACGAGATCAGATTCTGACATTTAATGGTATTATTTAATCAATGCTTGGGGTGTTTTTCCTCTCCTCTGTTTGGCTGTTTTGCTCAGGTGTTTTGCCCTGGCCAGGCAGGATGATCCAGCAGCTCACAGCGGGCTCTGCCTGCCTGGCCGGATCCTCACGCCTGCGCTTCACCACGGTGGTTGCAGCACCAAGGACCTGCTCTTGTCCCCACTCAACTAATAAGTGTTATTAATGACAATTGCATCACTTTGAGGTGACCCTGACACCCACAGAGTGGCTGATGAAGGGTGAGAGATAGGGAGACGGGTTTCCTGGGGGATCAGGGTGTCTGTCCTGGCTGGTACAGGCTCAGAGTCTGGACACCACTGTCAGTTCACAGCTGCCATGGAGCTGCTGCTCCCTGTCACTGCCAGGGACAACACGTGTTCTACGGCCCCTGCTTTCCCCCAAATTCAGCAGGTTGATGTGAAGTGCCTTTCCCAGGACAGGAGAGGCAGAGACCCCTCAAGCACAGCCCAACTCCAGGGTGCTGCCACCCTCAGCACTCCTGCACTGGAGCACAGAGGAGGAAGAGCAGCCAGGGAGTTGCAGGCCAGGTGGGCATCTCTAGGACTGAGCCTCATCCTCGGACAGCGTGGTGGGGCAGGAGGCTGTGAGCGGGATGGTGGCCGTGGGGGGTTTGTAGTCAGCCCCGTGGAACACCTGCCTGCCCGTGCCCACGGGGTCAGCGCAGGACACGGGGCAGTCGTGGCTGTGCCGCCGGCTGTCCCCTCCTCCGGCCTCCAGGCACTCGTGGCACCTCTTCCCGATCAGGTAGGTGGCCTCGATGATGTTCAGCACCACGCAGATGCAGGTGGTGACCACCATGAAGAGCGTGAAGATGTTTTTCTCGGTGGGCCGGGAGATGAAGCAGTCCACCACGTTGGGGCAGGGCGGCAGCTCGCACTTCACCACCCGGGGCAGGGTGTAATTCCTGTAGAAGCGGAAGAAGATGTAGAGGAAGACCACGTCCACGCTGGCCTTGAAGATGAGGCTGAGCAGGTACGTCCACCAGAGCCCGCCCCGCTTCTTGCCGGGGTTGGGGTAGATGCGGCGGTAGTTGTCCCCTTTGATCTCACGGAGCCTCTCCTCCTTGGCCTCCCTGTAGGCCACATGCATGAGGACCAGGAGGGACGGACACGTCACCAGGATGAGCTGCAGGGCCCAGAGGCGGATGTGGGAGACGGGGAAGAAGTGGTCGAAGCAGACGTTGGTGCAGCCCGGCTGCAGCGTGTTGCAATCAAAGTCCTTGTGGTCATCGCTCCAGACCTTCTCGGCCGCCACCACGTAGACCAGCAGGCGGAAGATGAAGACGAGGGACAGCCAGATGCGGCCGAAGGCTGTGGAGTACACATTGACGGCACGGAGGAGCCCCTCAAACGACCCCCAGTTCATGGCTCCCCAATCCTGTTAGCCAGCCTGGGAAGAAAGAACACACAGACACTGAAGCAGCAGCAGAAATTCCCCACCGGAGCCCCTGTGTGCCTCACAGCACCGAGCCATGCTGCTGGGACCACCTCTGACCTGTGCTGGCACGCAGGGACACCGCTGGCAGCACAGACCTGCTCTGGGTGACACGTGTCCTCCAAGCACTGTCCCCACTGTGGACGGGGACGTGACAACGCTCGAGGTTTCTGCCACAGCCACAGCATCCTCCAGCCACCTCCGGTGCACGGCTCAGCCCCATCCCGCCCCTGCTCCCGCCTCGTTGCCCAGGTATTTGTTATTAATTTCCCTGACGTTGCCAGGCCTGGCCCAGGCAGACACCAAATCGGAGCAGCCGGGGCGTGACTCCGCTGCCGCGTCCTCTCCCATCGCTGGAATCTGCCGTGGCTCCCCGGGGCAGCGCAGGAGGAGCCCGGTGCCCCCGCTCCGTGTCCCCGCGCACCGGGAGCCCACGGCACGGCGGAGGGGCTGCCGTGGAGCCGGGCAGCCAAAACTACCAATTTTCACCAAGCCCAGCCCCCTGCGTGGCCGATTTGACCCCGGTTTGCCCTCTGATTTGACTTGCATCGTGCCAGATGAACGCACCCCATGCGCCGTGGAGCTGCAGCAAAGACTCCCAGGGCTGCGTTTGCCATTGCCTCTCCTTAAATATTTTGCCTACCGGTGAAATAACAAGATCCCCCCTCGCCGAGGGATGAACACATCCCCTGCTCTGCACAGCTCAGCCACTGCACCCACCCGCAGGAGTGGGGTGACCACGGGCGCTCCCGGCTCTCGTCCCTCCCGTGGCAGCCGCTCAAACCCCAGATTCCTCCTTCCCTGTGCACGCTGCCGGCAGTGCCCATCTCCCTGGTGCCAGGCTGGGCAGAGGCACTTCCCCAGGGCCCTCCCCACCTCCTGGGGGCCGGGGGTCGCGGCAGAGGGGGTCCCCAGGCCGCTCACCTGCGGGTGTCCCTCGGCGGCGCTGCTGCGGGTCGGCGCCTGCCCAGGGCAGGAGCGCATCGCCCGGCACGAAAGAGCGCACATGAGTCACCCCCGAGCTCCCGGGAGCGAGGAGGAGATTCCCGGGGGAAGGGATGAGGCTCCTGGCGGATCCCCACGTGTCCCATGGAATGTCAGATTTCCCAAGGCGAAGGGCGGCCCCGCAGCGCTGCCGTGCCGGGAAGGGCTGAGCCGGCTGCTCCGCCGTGGGCAGGGGTGGGAGCTCGGGGCTGTCAGTCCTCAGCTTCCGCAGGGATGTTCAGCACAACCTGGGGTCCCTCCATGCCTTCCCTGCACCCATTCCCCCTTCCTCCAAAGTGGCCGAAGCCCTGGGAGTCCCTGCCCACAGCGCTGAGAACCTCAGCCCAACATTGCCCTTTATAATCCTTTTTTATTGAAACTTTGCACCATGGCAATAATTTAGCAGAGTCTTTATCCATCACCACCCTCTATTAAGTGGGTGGCAGTTGATAATTTCACTGTCAATTAATTAACTGCTTACCTGTGCTCCACTCACCTGCAAGCTGGCACAAGTCTCTTCTCCATCACCCCTCCTTGATACCAGAATCTGGAGCCCTCCCAAAATAACCCCCAGCTCAAAGAACCCCCTCTTGGAGGTCTGACCCCCATCTCACAGCTGTGGGGTGCAGGGATGGGGGTCAGAGGGGAGGGAGTCCAAGGAGGTGTGGGGTGCAGGAGTTCAGGTACAGCTGGAGTCATTTGAGGAGCAAACACACATTTCATTTGCAATTCTGCTGGGGTTTAAAAAAAATGTAGAGAAACAAATCTAAACAGCTGTAAAGTAAATTACCAGTGTTTGCGGATGGCTCCAGGGAAGAGTTCTGCAGTTTGAAATCAAACAAGCCCATTTTTATTTTTTTAACACGCCTGTGTAGTGGCTGTGCCGGGCAGGGGGTTCCCAGGGGCTGGGTCCCCCATGGGCAGGCAGGGAGGGCCCAGAGCAGCACACATCCACCAGCACCCAGTGGTGGGTGGGGGGGACATTCTGCCCCTGGTACCCCTAATTTTGTGCATGTCAGATGTGGCTCTTTGTGTCTCTCTGGGTTAAAATCCCCTCTTTTGGGGAGCTGCCAGGTGTGATGGGCAGTTTCTGCTCCTGGTAGTGCCCCTCCATTCCTCCACAGGTGAGTCCCCAGTGCAGGGGACACAAAGGTGTATTAATGGCAGTACTTTATCTTCCAGGAACAAGCCCCATTAGTACATTTTCACTACAACATGAAATATTAATAACACTTTGCATTTATATAGCGTCATTCATCCCGCAGTCACCAGCCAAGCTGCTGACATGAATCAAACACCACAGCCAGCTCTGGAGGAGACAGGTAAACGGGATTAGACCCATTTTCCTGCTGCACACAATGAGGCACAGGGTTTTCTGCAGGTCACCGGTGCCGCTGAGGATGTTTTGGAGGAAAAAACCCAAACACACGAGGCCAGGCACTGCTCTGACCTGGCCTTCCTCCTCCTCCAGCTGCTGCAAGTGGTATTTGCTGTTCCTGGTACAGTGCTGACAGTGCAGGGAGTTAGGAAACCTGTCAGCCCACGGAGAGGCAGGCCCTGACACAACCCGAGGGCTCCTGCAGCATGAAAGAGCAAGCAGAAAACCAGTGGGGAAAGAAAGGGCTCTTTTCATCTTATTAAAGAGCCTTGTATTTAAACCCTCCTCCAGCTCCGTAGCACAGGGTGATTGCGAAGGCTTTTGCACACCAGCTGAGCAGGACTCGCTCCTGCTGCATGCAGATGCCGGTGAGCAGGGCGGAATCCTGTGACTGATGATGGATAAGGACAGACAAACAAGTCCTGGGTAAAATTTCAGAGCGGTGCTGAGCGGCAGGGAAGGGGTGTGGGCACAGCCCAGCCGCCCACTGTCCCCAGCACCATTGTTATTCCGTGAAGAAGGCACCTTGTTTGCAGATAATTAAAAAAACCCAAACAAATTAGTGAAAATTAAACACCCGGAGCAAGCTGGAGGTTGGCTCAGCCACTGGGAAAGTCGTGTGAGCATCGCTGCTGCTTCCAACCCAGCCTGGCTCAGCCCCGGGACCCCCTTTCACTGCACTGCCAGATGCACTCCCCATCCCACAAGATTATTTGGAAGTTCTTCCATGGAAAATCAGTGCTCAAGGACTGTCTGGATGAGAGCAGGCAAACCCTCGCTGGCCCGGCCTGGTCGTGGCCACCTAACACGGCCAGCACCATTAATCTTGCATTTATATGTGAGGCTGCAGGGAGTAACCTCATTTCTAGGGAGACCTTAATTAATCACCAACTCAAAGTGCCTCGATGAGGTGGTTTGCAGCCAAGGAGATAAATTGACATGGTCAGCAGTGGCTGAGGATGAGGATGGGCTTAGCAGGGACCTAAATCATGGCAGGTGGTGGTGGTGAGCAGAGCAGGGGACAGGACGAGCAGGGGACAGGGCACACGTGTCCTGTGAAACCTTCCTGTGTGCTGGCAGGCCGATGAACGGGCCACGGGAGATGCTGCTGTGGCTATTTGTCCATAAAAAGGCCGAAATGAGAGAGAAATGAGAGTGTTTTCATCCTGTGCAGAACATGCCCCTGCAACGGTGGCAAGGGAAAGATGTGGAGGACAAATTCCTAAGCAGGAGGGGGCCGTGGGCAGTCACACAGCCCCAAACCCCAGTGGGAAGGGGCTGGGGGCTTGATGCCCTCACAGCAGGAGCAGAGTCCAGCCCAGCCTGTCTGTCTGTCTGTCTGTCACGGGCAGACCCATTACTGCTTGTTTTGGCTTGTTTGGCCAAATAATCACCGTACAAAGGACATGGTTGCCATTGCCACTGACCTTGGCAGCCTCCAAATGGGCGGCCCGCAGGTCAAAGTCTTTATATCTCATCACCAGCCTCCTGAGTCATGCCTGTCTCCTGGCAAGTTGCATTCTTTTCAGATGGCAGCTAAACGGGAAAGAGGTCGCGCTCCCAATACGGCGACAATAGGACATGACAGCACTTTTCTGAGTGATTAAGCCTCAGGTGATGGCGGGGCTACAAGACAAGTGGCTGAAGGCTGAAAGACTTTAATCACCTCGGACACGGCACTGCATCCTCGCACTCCATCCTGCCAGGGTGGGTTTTTAGTGCGAAACAGGAGCGATAATAAAAATAATCCAGCCCAGCCTGCGCACCCATCCGTTAGTTATGCGTGCTGCTGTTAATAACCAGCCTGGGCAGCCTGTTGGCCCTCAAAGATCCTTCTGCAATAAATCAGCGCTGATGCCTTAAAATAACTGTCTGGGGCTGCTGGAGCGGACACTAGATGGCATTGGGAGAACGCGCGGCACGGCACTGCCGCCTTCCCCGGAACAGCCTGGCAAAACAGAGCAGAAAACTCAGGATGACAGAGCAGAAAATGTCTCAGCTGGGGAGAGGCCACCAGCTCACCTCCATCCTCACATCCACGAGTTCAACTCCATCCTCGCAGTCCTCACTTCACCTCCATCCTCACATCCACCAGTTCATCTCCATCCTGAACCCACCAGCTCATCTCCATCCTCACATCCACCAATCCAACTCCATTCTGAACCCACCAGCTCATCTCCATCCTCACATCCACCAGTTCAACTCCATCCTCACATTCACCAGGTCATCTCCGTCTTCACATCCACCAGTCCAACTTCATCCTGAACCCACCAGCTCATCTCCATCCTCGCATCCACCAGTTCAACTCCATCCTCACATTCACCAGTTCATCTCCATTCTGAGCCCACCAGCTCACCTCCATCCTTACATCCACGAGTTCAACTCCATTCTCACAGTCCTCACTACACCTCCATCCTTGCATCCACCAGTTCAACTCCATCCTCACATTCACCAGCTCATCTCCATCCTCACACCCACCAGTTCAATTCCATCCTGAACCCACCAGTTCACCTCCATCCTCCCATTCCCCAGTTCACCTGCAGCATCTCACCTGCACTGAGAGCATGAT